ACTTCCAGCGATATCCGGACTTCCTAACATTTTAGAGAACCTTCAAGCCAAGCACACCTCAGATGCCAGCTCCTTGCCTCTTCCTGTCCTGGCCGCTCTCACTGTCTCCTCCTCCCAGAAGGCCTTGCTGTCCAGGCAATCCCCAAGGTGGAGAGCCTGGTGTCGCTCTGACTCTCAGTCACTTCCACTGGCCACCACCAGCGCAACCTTCCTTCAGGATGAGACGCCTCCCACAAAGCCCCTGGGGTGGTTCAGTCAGGAAGCACAGAGCGCATGCTAAGTAGGTGGCCCTGTATTCCTTTCCTAGTCCTCTCAAGGTGGCCGGGAAATAGAATCAGGCAGGGCTAGCCGGCAACCTCAGATGTGTCCCCTCTTCTCTGCCCTCTTTGGAAGAAGGGCTACCTCACTTGTGTATAACATTCAGGGCCAGTAGGGAAGGTGAACACTGCAGACCCAGCCTTTTCTTTTGGGAGGAGGCTTGACCACGTGTAGAAAGGAACTATAAGAAATTGCCGGGCAGTGGTGGCGCACACCTTTAATCCCAGCACTTGGGAGGCAGAGGCAGGTGGATTTCTGAGTTCGAGAGTTCGAGGCTAGCCTGGTCTACAGAGTGAGTTCCAGGACAGCCAGAGCTATACAGAGAAACCCTGTCTTGAAAAAGCCAAAAAGAAAAAAAAAAGAAAGAAGGAAAGAAAAAGAAAGAAAGAAAGAAAGAAAAGAAATTAATACATATTAGTACATACAAAGTGCTTAAAGTAACCCCGACTCTCAGTGAGAAGCCAACACCTGCTCCTCTTATTTTATTGGCTGCCACAACAGTTTCTTTCTTTCTTTTTTTCTTCTTCAAATAATGTTTCATGTAGCCCAGGCTGGCCTCAAACTATGTAGCCTAGAATGACCTTGAACTTCTGGTCCTCCTTCTGTTTCCCGAGTGCTGGGGTCACAGGTATGAACCACTCTATGTCCGGCTCATTCATTGTCTATTCTAATTCTGTGTGTGTGTGTGTGTGTGTGTGTGTGTGTGTGTGTGTGTGGTGTTTTGAGAAAGGGTTTCTCTGTGTAGCCTTGGCTGTCCTAGAAGTCACCCTGTAGACCTCCTCCAACTCAGAGATGCATCCAGAGATCCAGAGTGCTGGGATTAAAGTTGTGCACTACCACCGCAGGGCTATCTTTTCTAATTCCTATGCCAGTTTTTTGAGATATTTCGCCCCATCTTGCAGGCGAGACGATGAAGTGGAGGCTCTCAGCTGCATGCCCGAGGCGACAAAGCACTAAGTGGTTCTGAGTGTGGGAACACGCCTGTTGGAGGCGTGTGCTCTCTTAAGGCCTCTGCTTACGAGGGTCTGTTTCAGGTTTGGCATCAGCTTTGAGTGTCCACAAACTGCTTATCGTATTCGAAAGTTCATGAAGCTCCAACCGCCGAAGGATCGGTTGAGGCTGGAGGCTGCCCCTGAAATGGAGGTTGAGCTGGGTTCTCCCTTGTGGGAGCGCCTGCCGCTGCTCGACCCAGTCCTTCTGTTTCCAGAGTCCGCAGGTTCCAGAGAAACCTCAAGCCCCACCTAGTGGCGACACACAGAACTGCAGGTGGTACAGTTCAATGCTCAGTAGGCCTAAGGTGTAGGTGCTTTCTGATGGAAAGCGAATTCTTTCTCCCCAAAGAGGAGCCGCTGGGGTGCCGCATATCATAGACGCATGCTGCTACATGTAGCAGGTGCTGGGCCCCAAGCCATGTTTTTCTGAAACCGCTTTTCTTCCCCAAACTTCCTATTTCTTACTTCCCACACTGCAAGTGACACACTGTCCAGAGAGTTGTGTCCCCTTTGTGGGTGCTGGGCAAAATGGCTCTGACCCACTTTCCCTTTCCTTCCTTGTCACCTCCGATGGCACCTGTGCCCACCCCTGCCCTTCCAGCCAGTGCCTAGCCACTCTCTAGGGAGTCCACTGGAGCTGCCCCTGGGCAATGCTGCCCTCCCCCCATGGTATTGGCCCCATTCCACCCCTACCACCCCCACCTAGCCTGACTCCCTCCCACAGTTTCCTACAGTTTCTGCCAGCTAGGCAGAAACCCAAACTGGCTTCAGTTTCCCCATGTCATCCCGTGCATGAGCACATAGGCCATGGTGTGTGAGACCAGCAAAAACCACGGGCTACAGACTTGCTCCTGAGTCCAGCATGTAACTAAATGAACACCAGACATTTCACCTTTGATATGTGAATGACATCCTCTATTTCGAGGACACAGCAGAGACCAGTGTCTCCACCCTTGAGTTGGAATTATGGCCAGTCAGGAGCTGCCAAGAGGGTCCTGGGAAAGAGAGCCACGTGTGACCTTAACCTCTGGCACATCACTTCAAGTTTCTAGACAGGGTCAATCTGTAGCCCAGGCTACCTTGTGCCTCAGCCTTCAGGGCACTGACATTAGAGGTGTGGGCCACTATACCTAGCCCCATGCCTTTGTGAATGAACTGTAGAGAAGTGGAAGATCTAAAAGAGGAACAGAGAACTTCTTAACTTTTTCTGAAATGGTTTCTCTTTCAGGCTAACTCTTTATTCTAGGCCTCTGTCTTTCAAGTGCAAGTATTCTGAGAGTCTACCGCCACAGACCTCAACCTGGATCTTAAATTCAAACGTTTTCCGTGTGTGCTGGAGCACACTCACAGGTGGAGGTTAGCTTCCAGCATGTCGGTTCTCAACATCCACCATGTGAGTTTCAGGGGTCAAATTCTGGCTGCCGTGCTCAGTGACAAGTGTCTTTACTAACTGAGCCATTTCACTGCCCCCCCCCCGGCCCCTTTAACACTTATTCTGTGTTTGAGTATGAGCCAGCCACCACACAGGTGTAGAGGTCAGGGGACAACTTGTGGGAGTCGCTCCTCATTCCCCTAGGTGGGTTCCAGGAACTGAACAGAGATGGTTGTCTTAGTGAGGGTTTTACTGCTGTGAACAGACACCATGACCAAGGCAACTCTTATAAGGACAACATTTAATTGAGGCTGGCTTACAGGTTTAGAGGTTCAGTCCATTATCATCAAGGCAGGAACATGGCAGCATCCAGGCAGGCATGGTGCAGGAGGAGCTGAGAGTTCTCCATCTTCATCTGAAGGCTGCTAGCAGAATACTGGCTTCCAGACAGCTAGGATGAGTCTTAAAAAGCCCACGCCCACAGCGACACACCTATTCCAACAAGGCCACACCTTCTAATAGTGCCACTCCCTGGGCTGAGCACATACAAACCGTAACAGTCAAGTATCTTTCCACGCTTGAGCTGTCTGTGGGCTCTCAACGTGATTTTTAAGTTTTTTCCTGTGGTGCTGTGGATGGACTCTGGCATGCGACGTTGAACTCTGCGGGGGAATCACAGCCAGCCTCACCAACTTGCTACTTGAAACATTTCAAACCTGTCTGTGGTGGCTTGAACGGGAAATGGTGCCCATATGCTCATGTATTTGAACACTTTGTCTCCGGTGAGTGGGAGTTTAGGGGCCCCTGGTGGGTGGGGGCTTAGGGGCCCCTGGTGGGTGGTTTAGGGAGTCCAGACTTCCTGGAGGAAGTACATCACTGGCTGCATCCTTTGAGAGTGTGTAGTCTCTCTTCTAGTTTGTTCTGCACTGTGCTTGCAGCAGGATGCGAGTTTGCTGCTGCCACGCCTCCCACAGTGGACTCATCCTCTGAACCCACACACCCTTTTACCCATTTGCTGCCCTTAGCTGTCATTTTATCACGGCAGGAGATCAACTAATACAGCTTTAAAAGGCACAGAGGGTCATAAACAAGACAGGAAATCTTGAGCTAGGAGGGTAACAGCCTTTGTGAGGTGGGGGCCATAGGATCCAGGAGGAAAGGACTAAGCTGGCACCACAGGCAGGCTGCTAGAGGGAAGGCCCAGGCTATCCAGCCATAGCAAGGTTTGTCTGATGGAAGACCACCACAGGCCCAGGTTAGAAATCAAAGGGTGACAGAAGAGTAAATCTTTGACCTCACAGTGGCTGTGAAACAGGCCTGGTAGCAGAGACAGGAAAGGGTGTGGGATTTTTTTTTTAAGATTTATTTTATCTGAGTACAGTCTGAGTCTTCAGACACACCAGAAGAGGGCACTGGATCCCATTACAGATGGCTGTAAGCCACCATGTGATTACTGGGAATTGAACTCAGGACCTCTGGAAGAGCAGTCAGTGCTCTTAACCGCTGAGCCATCTTCCCGGCCCCAGGGCATGGACTTTTTTTTTGATATAGGATTTCTGTGTAATAGCCCTTGACTTGCTTTGTAGACCATGCTAACTTCAAACTCAGAGACATCCTTCTGCTTCTGCCTCCCTCCCCAGTGCTGGGATTAGAATTGTGTGCTACCACACCCTGTGGGTTCTGAGCTTAGTGGCCAGATCTACAGGACTATTGTGAGGTCTTGGGAATAAAGTGTTTGTCTCTTGTTCACCTCTGGTCCATGTCTGTGGACTGACTTGTTAACTTATGTAGCCCCACTGTGGGCAGCATCATTCCCTAGACTGGACATTCCTGAACTTCATAAAGCTGAGCATGAGCCTTCCTGTCAGTCAGCTAGCACTATTCCCATACTTCCTTGGTCAGAGGTAATGGCTATGTGGGCTAGCATGCAGTTCTGTCTTCAAGCTCCGGTCTTGTGCCCCTCAATGATAAGAATCTGACCTGAAACTCTAAGTGAAATAAACGCTTTCTTGCCCTCTGCTGCTTTTCAGGGTGCTTTATCACAGCAACAGAAAGGACACTAGACCATCTATCTCACCAGTCTGCAGCAGGGGAGGCTGTGGTGACATGTCAGGTAGGTCCAGTCTATCAGTTTCCTGTTGGTCATCAGGCCCCCAGGGTGGAGAACAGGACAACACACCCATCGGCTCAGTCCTTCTAGAGTCGGGCTGTTGATCCTCTAGATACCCTCACACAGCTCTCCCACCCCTCGAATGGGTGTTATTTTTCCCCCATAGGGCTAGCCCAGCAAACGAAGACAACAAAGCCTGACACAAGTCAAAGGTTGGTATGGTTTTTATTTTTTTGCTTTTGTAAAGAAAAATAACATCGTGTCTGTATATGAAATCAAAACATAAGAGCCCCTCCTGGGTGCGCAGGGTGCCGGCTGGCCAGGCTGCCCTGCTGGGAGGGGCCGCAGCATCTCCCTAGATGTTTCCAAGGGACTGGAGACAGGGATGCTGAGGAACAATTTGGTTTTAGGCAGGAAATATTAAATTTAAAAACTTGATGCATCCATTGTACAAATGTAGACCAAAGAGGTGTCACCTCCAAGCTGGAACCTTTGTGGCAGCTGGACTCCTGACCCCTGACTGGTGAGACAACCCAGGATAGTATCAGGAGCTCCCGGGACAGGAGTGTAGAGGTGAGGTCAGGGCTTCTCTAAAGTTAAATAAAAAGTACTGAAAGCACCCGAAGCTAAGAGCCCCTCCCTGCAGGGGGGCCGGAGGCGTCTGCTTCAAAGCACACACCTCACCTGGCAAAAGATGTGTAGAAAAATAAAGTTAAATTTTATCCCTGAATGACAGTGAAGACTCTTCCTTTCCCCATGCCCCTCCCCCACAACAAATCCCAAGGGGTATAATACAAAGACATGTGTGTGTGCACATGCACACGCACGCACGCGCACACAGGGCCAAGGCCTGACCCCCACAGGCACATGTGACCCCACACTATCGAAAGGCCAGTGTTAGGCCGACGTTCCTCCTCCTCCCTCATGGGACAGGATGTGCCCCAGCAAGCCTGCAGCGTCCTCAGCAGGCAGTGGTTGGGCATGGCACCAGCGCAGGTGGCCTGGAGCCACAGGTCAAGGGGCACACAGATGGGGCAGGATGGAGGAGAGGACAGCAGGCTCAGGAGGAACGGACTGGGTGTAAGGGAGGTCCAGTCTCATCTGAACTGTGCAGCTCAAGAGCAACTGGCAGGCCAGGCAGGGACTCTGGGTGTGAGCGAGAGGCGTGGCGCACGGGGAGCTCTGGTGTTCTCAGGGTAACAGCTACCTGCTGAGAAAGTCACAACAGCTGTTGGGGCAGGCGTCAGTGGGGAGTCCCAGGATCCCCACCTGCCCAGCCTGCCTGGAGCCTCCGGTCAGGGGCGAGGGCGGCCAGCTGCCCGCCTCAGGGAGCCTTGCTCTCTGGAGAGGGAAGGTGTGGGACTGAGGGATCCAGGCTCCTCCTGCGTCTCTCAGGGGCATTCTTCATCTTGGCTCTTGGTGGGGCTCTGCAGCAGACCTCTGGTGGCTCGGAGACAGCAGTGAGGCACCGGCAGCCTGGCTGGCCTGTCACAGCTACAGGGGCACTAGTGTCCCTGGGGCTGGGCGAGCCGGACAAAGATCCCTGGCTTTGGGGTCAGAGTGTCAGCACCAAACACAGTTGATGTTTGCAGTCTGTTGGGTGGACAGCAGGTATCCTGAGGTCAGGGAATCGACCCAGGAAGTCAAGGCGGAGACAGAGCCCCTCAGGAAGGGACCTCAGCGCCAGTGGCAGAAGCAGCATGCACCTGGCACTGCCCTCTGGAAGGGCACTCGGTGGTCAGCGCAGGCTCTGGTACAGGTAGGCCGAGGTGAAGAGGGCATTGACAGCCAAACTCACAGCCAGGAGGCCCCGGACCAGGGAGGGACCAACACGAGCTATAAGCAGGACACAAATCAGAGGCAGTGTGGGTGGCATCCTAGTCGTCAGACAGGACCTACCCCAGGGCAACCTTCTACCCCAGCAGGCCAGGCCACACCCAGTCTTCCCTCCAGGAGAGTTCTTCCTGCACGGAGGCCTGCTGGAGGCCTGCTGCTCTGAAGGCCTATCTTTTCAGAACCTATGTGACCACACGGACCTTAGGTCAGGTAACCTGTGTCTGCCTGCACCAGCAACAACAGGATACCAAGATATCACTGTCACAAAGGAAGAAATGGGAGTTTGTGGGAGGCTACTCTGCTCAAATCTTAGAGATTAAAAAGTCTACTGAGAAGCCAGGATGATGGTTAGTCAGCCTTTAATCCCAGCAGAGGCGCAGCATAGGAGGTCAAAGGCATTCTCAGCTTTGAGTTTGAGGCCAGCCTGGGCTACAAGAGACTTTGCTTAAAAGCAACATGAGCAGAGGTAGAATGAGGTCCCAGGTCTTCTCATCAAAGTCACCAGACACAGTCCAGACCTGTCTCAGGGCAGCACTGAGATCCCCAGTTAGGTAACCTCACTGGCTGACCTGTCTCTTCCACCCAGTGTCCTTCCCTTCCTTCCCACCCACTGGGATTGACCACTGAAGGTCTCACACACTGCCTGTCAGTAGTCTAGCAAGAAAGGAGCCAGTGCCTGCCGGGCAGTAGTGGCGCACACCTTTAATCCCAGCATTTGGGAGGCAGAGGCAGGTGGATTTCTGAGTTCAAGGTCAGCCTGGTCTACAGAGTGAGTTCTAGGACAGCACCAGGGCTACACAGAGAAACCCTGTCTTGAAAAACCAAGGGGAAAAAAAAAGAAAATAAAAAAGAAAGGAGCCAGGGTCAACCCAGGGGAAGCCAGGGGGCTGGCAGAACTCTGGCTCAACCACAAAGCGTTTGGAGAGTCCAGGCCCATATCCCAGCGGGCTCAGACTCTCCTGAATAGGCCTACCCTAGATGCCCCCAGTGTCTGTTCTAAGCACAGGAGCCCTGGGCTACCCATGGCTGCTGAACATCTGACACGGGGCTAAGGCAGCCGAGGAGATGAACCACAACTGTCACAGGGACGAAGCTTTATCATCGTCCCCTGAAGGGGGCTGGGGACTGGCTCTCCCACCCGGAGTCACAGACCTTTCCAGGGAGTGGTCTCCTCTGAGCACCCTTTGGTGGTGGTATCTACGACGCAGGTGGAGGACTGGGACGACTCGTCCTCTTTCTTGATGGAGTGGCTGCTGCGGGTGCCATCTCTGACCAGCATCGACCTCATATCTGTGGACAGAAGAGTGAGCATCCTGCTGTGCTGAGCTCAACCCCAGGGCATCCCTGAGGACAAGGCATCATATGAGGACAAGGTCCTCAGAGGTCTCACACTGCTCACCTCCTCTGAGTGGCAGAGGGTCTGGGCAGCAAGCAAACACGGAGTGGTGCCAGCAAGTGCCCTGGGCAGTGAGTGAGGCTCGAGGGATATGGACTGCCTGCTTGGCCTGTCCTCTGAGCACCAGTCAGCCATGGGGCCAAATCCACCCACACTCACAGACCCAGAGAGCCACACAGCCCACGTGAAAGTCTGAGTTAACAGAGTCCAACTGCCTTTTAAAAACGCTTGTCAGTGTATAAGGGTGCGGGCGCAATGAGGGCATCCGTGACCAGTACAGGCTGACAACGCACAACAGGCTTCCCAGGGGCCCGGGAAACGAAGCCCTGAGAGCCGATTACGAAAGGAAAGGTCACAGCTATCCACCAGAGCCACACTGGGTAGTCTAGTGATGAGTACATTCCCACCAGAGTACCAGATGACCTCTAAGATTGGCCCAGAGCTCCATGGCAGTACCTACTGCGTGCACTTCAGGCCCACACATACCCATGGTGTGCTTTGTGTCTCGCGTGTGATTCCTCTGCGGGAGCTGGGGAGACTCGATGAAGAGGCTTCCGTTGGGTGGTGAGTGCTCTTCTGAGCTGCTGGGGGTGTTTGGTACTTCCCCAGGGGATGAGAAGAGCAGCAGTTTCTGTCCTTTCAGGTTGAGCCGTGCAGGGCTGATGAGGGGTCTGCGGTGGCGCAAGGAGCCAGAGCTGGAGGCCCCAGAGCTGGCCACGGAAGGTGCTGGGGAAGGGAGAGGAGAAGAGGGAAAGCTGCCGGACAGCAGAGAGAAATAATCTGCAGAGAAAGGGGGGGGGGTCAAACAATGGCGGCAGCAGGCACACTGGGACCTGCACTGGACACTGGCATCCGCCACCCACCACTGGAACCTGGTGCTTTCCCTCAGCTCATGAAGGAAGGTAAGCTGGAGGTTGGGGAGAGTGGAAAACCAAGCAGGAACCTGAGGGAGGAAGGGCCAGGCCCCACAAGGAACTGAGTAGGGGGTGAGGGTGGGGATATCCCAAGACCCCCTGGGCTGAGAGCTGGGCTCTGGCAGGAGCAGACTCCTATCTGCTCTGAGATCAGCCGGCCTGAGGAGCTAGGGCTACAGGCAGCGTCTGGCTCTATCCGTGGACACAGCATGATACTGTCCAACCTCCAATGGTCCTCTACCTCACATCAGAGAGAGCCTAGACACATCATGTTGTCTCTTGCCATGAGCTGGGGTTTGAACACAGGTCTGCTGGCCCTACACTCAGTTAACCTTATACAGATGCGTTTGGCCTCAGGGTTGCCTGGAAACTGTTTTCCAGTCCCCTCTGCCAGCTCTGTCTCCTTACCTGAAAGAGAAACCTCCCTGGCTGGAGACACCCTAGACGGTGGGCGGCTCCCGCTGAACAGGTATCCTGAGTCTGTGCAGAAAGAGAAATGCAACATAGACCTAAGGGTGACGACGAGCCAGTACCCTCTGTCCCCACATCCCTGCCACAGCTAACTTCAATACTTTCATGAAAACAGGTACTGCCATCCAGGACACACGCAGCATTCCCACTTTGCCAATAGAGACACTGAAGCCTCCAGTGGGTCACAGGAAGTCAGCAGTGTGTCGCGGTCTCTGCCTCACTGTTTGCCCTCTCTCCACACAATGTGTCACTTTAATTTTAGGTGTATGACAGTTTAGCTTGCATGCAGGTATGTATGTGCACTCGGAGTGCAGTACCCCCAGAGGCCAGAAGAGGGTGCCAGACTGCCTGGAACTGGAGTTAAAATACAGATGGTTGTGAACTGAATCTACAGAGAGACCTGCTGTCCCTGTCACTGGGACTGCTACCTTCCTCACCCAAGGGGCTTGAGACAAAATCTGTCAACCCTGTGGCTCTCAGTCAATATGCCCTGGGGCCTGGGGAGGAGTCAACTGCCAGCCTGGGGCTGCAGAAGACACATGGGACACAAACTTCCCAGCTGTCCCTAACTAAGACAAGCAGAGACTTCTGCGGAGGAGTCCACTGTGATTGGGCAACTAGCTCTATCTGCTAGAGAAACCCTGTCTTGAAACAAAATAAAACAAAACAAAATAAAGCAGCCCCCTTCCCAAACCAACCCTACCAAGCTCCTGCGCCTGTAAAGAGCAAGGCAGCTAATGTGGCCGTGACACCGATGCCTGCAGACGCACAGATGAGACAGAGGGACATGGAAGGCATCTGTGACAACCCTCCTCCCCTGCCCTCCCAAAAGAGTAACAGTCCAAACAGGAAGCGGTCCAAGGGAACTCTTAAACAGGTGCTGAGGATGCTGGAGTGTCGCTCGCTCTCCATGGCTGAAGCCGGTGTGTGTGGGGGAAGCCTGTGGATCTACTTGGGCGCAGGCCAGTGGTTTGACCAGTGGTCTGACCGTGCTCCAGGGAGTACATAGATAACACAAACCGAACTTGTTTTTCTTCCTATTTTTTAAATATAAAACTTTTAATTTTTATTTTTTTAATTTTTTGAGGGAGGTGACAAGAGTTAGGGGCTTGACTAGGCAGTGAGTGTGATGGGGTATGTGATGTGAAATCCCTAAAGAATCAGCAAAAATGTGCTGGAAAAAAAGCAAAATAAGAAAGAAAGGGGGCTGGAGAGATGGCTCAGCGGTTAAGAGTACCGACTGTTCTTCCAGAGGTCCTTAGTTCAATTCCCAGCAACCACATGGTGGCTCATAACCATCTGTAATGGGGTCTGATGCCCTCTTCTGGTGTGTCCGAAGATAGCAATGATGTACTCATATGCATAAAATAAATAAATACATCTTTAAAAAAAGAAAGGTAGGCAGAAAATGGTAAACCACATAGAGCATTCATTTACTGAGACTCAACATATACGGCACTTTTCGGGGTGGGGCTGGAGGTAGTGTCGCATGGCCCAAGCTGGCATCAAACTGGCTACGTAGCTGAAGAGGCTCTTGAACTTCTGATCCTCCTATCTTTGCCTTCAGAGTGCTGGATTTACAGGTGTATACCACCATGCCTCATTTATGCAGTACTGGGGATTGAACCCAGGACCCTGGGGGAATGCCAGGCAAGCATTCTACCAATTGAGCTACACCTCTAGTCCTCTTCTGGGTCCTTTAAGTATATTATTGCAAAGAACACAACCACACATGAGGAACATTCTCCTACAAGCCTGTGTTTTGGGTAGGCAAACAAGATATGACTGGTCACTGTGGCTGCTGAGTGGGCTCATACTGTGATAGCTTGAGCCTGGCCATCTCCTCCTCACAGGAGCCCAGCCCGGCTGTCCCCAGCTTGATTCTGTCATCAATGCTTCAAGGTCTTACCTGTCTGGGTCAGAGAAGGTATGGTTCCCAGGGAGAGGGCCCGACTGAGGCGGCCCGGCAGTGAGGAGGGGGAGACCCGACGGGGAGTTCGGAACAGATGTTGCTTGGTGAGAGGCAGGAAGCCGGGTGGCGTGGGGATGAACAGGGATGCTGGCGAGGCTGTGACGCTTGGGTATGGCACAGCCAGGCTGGGGCTGGAAGGGAAAAGGCTGGTCGAGTCTCCTGAGAAGTACCTGCAAGGGCCCATGGGACACAAAGAAGAGGAGAGTGAGTCAGGAAGGTTCTGGAGATAGCATCTGCACAATGGGGCCTGGCCCCTCCCAGGGTATGAGGTGGGCCTGAGTCAGGGTCCCAGAGGAGGCGTGCGTTAGTTAAAGCAAAGAGGCAACTGTCCCCTTATTAGGAGCGGTGGCTGGGGGATTCCAGCATGACTCACCCCACCCTGCATGCCCCCTCCAACCCCTCAGGCTCACTGCAATCTACCTCTACCATGAGTCTCATTAAAGTGACACTGTTACCCTGGCCAGCTTCATGCCAATCCACCCTTAGCCCTGAAGCAAACATTCCTAGCCCCAGACCAGGCACTCCGCTGGGCTCAGCAGACCTAGGGTTCTTCTTTCTGGCTACCTCCCATTCTTTGCCTACAAGTTCCCAATGGAGACACTCGAGGATCCCAACTGGACTGGACTTTAGAAGATACTGTTGCATCTCCACGGGGCTGGGCCTCATGAGCCTGCCTCTTGCAGCACAGGCGAGGCAGCCGGGCCTTGGATTCCCCAGAAAGAGCTCTTACACTGTACATGCCAAACTCAAACTTAGAGAAGACCCAAAACAACCACCAAGCTGCCCAAAAGACAGAAGGTGACAGTGTCTCTTTAACTTGAGAACAGTACACATCACACAACAGAACCTGATGGCCACAGGCCAGAATGTCAACCATGCTTCCGAGTAAGGCACCCAATTACAGAGGGGAGAGGGACAGAGGCAGTTAATACATTAGTCTGCCGTCTGGAAGGAGCTTCCGGTATCCAGCCTTACCTCAGTCCCAAGGGACAAGCGAGCCCAGCAGACAATGTGCCGACGAACGGGCTGACAGGGCCGGGCCCCATGGTGAGCAGGGGCTAACGTACTCATGCTATCCTGGCCGAGGGCTTGGGGGCTACTGCTAGCCAGCCTCTGCAACACCTCTTTCCCCATTTTTCAATTTTCTAAGAGAGGTATGTAGCCAGATGGTGAATGTCCAGAGAACCAGAGGACCTTCCCAGTCTCTTGCAAAGGACCTTGAAGCCACCAGAACTTCCAGCTCAGTGTCTGGAGGACATAGGAAATCAGGGCACAGCAAAACTGCAGAGGGGCATTCTTGGATGCACCCTAACTTTGCTCCCAGAGCTGCCTTTTGGGGGCTGGTAGAAGCCCTACTCCTCGATCAAAGACTGAGGAGGAATGCTGTCCCTGTCTTAAGCAAAGAAGTTGATTTTTTGTGGAACGGGGTTTATTTCAGTGGTAGACTGTCAGTTGTGTACGTGTGTGTGTGTGTCGGGTGTGTCTGGGCTTGATTTCTAGCCCCTACCTTCTAAAAAAAGTATGCCGTTTTATCTTTTCATTTCAGGATTACAACTGAGTCAGGCTGGACCTTAATCAATGTGCCAGGAGACATATGTCCAGGCACTTTAGGGCCAGCAGAAGTGAGGCTGGAATCTGGGTACCACATGCTTGACCGTGTATGAGCCTTTGTGGGAAGACACTGGGTGCTGCTGAGAAGCCTCAGAGCAGGTGCAAAGGCATGGCCAAGTCCTTCCAGCAGGTGGCAGCACAGGATGCTACACTAGGCCTCCTGGGTCCATGCCTGTCATACCCAGGAGCCAAGGGTGACCCTAGAATAGGCATCCCCTAAGGACCAACAAGCAATGAGGGATGCAGGGCACGGAGAGGTCCTAGTCAGGCAGGGATTCCATTCTCCTGGACCCTTAGGTCAGCACCTAAAGCTGGGCCGGGCTTTGCTAGTATATCCCCATCCTCTCCAGCTCTGCTCATTCTTGGAGCCCCGGCCATGGTTAAGCCTAGGAGTCCTAGCCACTAAGCACAGGAACTGTTGCTGGGTTTGGTCTGTCTCTCTCTTGCTGTGACACAGAGCAGCAGCAGCAGGAGTGAATCCCAAAGGTGGGAAGGTTGGCAGAGGCTCAGCTCTGCTCTGCCCTGGGCAGTTCCTGGGGCAGCCTCTTCTGTAAAGGGTCCAGAGCTTCTTTAGTGAGTAGTCCCCGAATATCTAAATGCTCGAACCCAACCCTGAGAGTGTCCTGTCCCCTGAGAGTACTGTGAAGAGGACTAGCAGGCCGAAGCTCACTCATCCGACCCTGGGAGAGCCTTAAGCCGTCCTCCTCAGCGAGCCAGCTGGAGTGGAGCAGCTGGGCCCGTAAGCACTCCTTGGCATCACCAGCTCCCCAAGCTGCTCCCAACCCCAAATGCAGTACCCCAAACCAACCCACCTCCCACCTTGGCACAGAAGCCCTTCTCAACATGAAAGAAAAAAAGACGCGGTACCTGGTGCCAACCGGAATGAGCAGGACCCAGGAGGCATTTATTGAAAACACAGCATTCAAAACATGGCACCTATGGCCGATCGTGGTTTACAGTGGTTAGGGTCGCTGGACAATTAATCACAATCTACTACACGGCACAGGCTTGTGCTGGGTGCAGGGTGCAGACAGAGGACACAGCAGTATGGACGGGCTGGCCTGAGGACGGAGGGTTGTCCTGCTCCAGGGCAAGAATTACTGGAGTCTGCTAGGCCCTGCGTGGGGACCCCAGACCCCAAGGTGAGGACTGTCTCCCTCCTTCATTTTTCAGGGATCCCACTCTGACGGCCTGGTGGTTGTCCCCAGTCAACAAGCCACAACCCACGGTGCCTGCATCTCCTCAGCTTCTGCCAGCAACACCAGAACGTGCTTTCTTCAACTAACAAAACTCTGAAGGACTATTAACGTTAAAAAGTAACACGAGCGCTTTAAAAGGCCAGGAATCCTGCTCCACCACGCCTTCTACTCCCACCAGTAGGCAGGGCGACATGCTCAGCAGGGATTCTGGCTGGCCAGAGTTGGCTCTGTATATCATAAATAATTTAAACGCACACACATACATACACACATGCATGCACCCCCTCACACAAACACCTGCTTCTATCTAATGCCAAGAATGCAGAAATTAACACCATATTGTCAGCTTCTTTGAGATCCACAACACACATGAGAGGACGCCCAGACAACAGCCCCACCACCTGTCACATCTCTTTTCCGTGGGCCAGTTCCTTGGAGGACAGAGACAGCTGTCCCCCCACAAGGTCAGCAGCAACTAGCCCACATCAACCATGGCCTCACCTACACCTCAGAGGGGGCCTTCCACACCCTTACCCAGAGCGAGCTGGGCCCTGCAACTCCAGAAGCAACACCTGGTCTTCTGACACTTCCAGGTCACCACACATGGAAGCTGAGTGATACTGGGCTGCTTCTGATAACGGAGGTCAGAGGACAGAGGCTAGAAGGACCCTCAAACAGCTGTACCATAGTGGGGCCTGGCTGCCTCTCAAGCTTCCTATGGGGTTCCAAGAAGGACAGACAGAGCCACCTCACAAAGACTCAGCAGCAGATGGCCATGTCTGCTGTGACACTCATTCATGCGTAATCTGCCCTTGCCCTCCCTGGGCACGGTGCAGAGGGTGAAAGACCCCACACTTAGTGGGACTTAAGTTAGCAGACAAGTGGGAGGAGTGTAAGTCAATCAGGAGCCACCAGAGGGCAGCATGCCAGGTGGGTGTAGCCTGTGGACCAGATGGAGCCTTAGACTTCTTCCCACGGCCATGCTCTTCACTGCCAGTGTGTCACCTCACGTGGTCCCCAAATCCACTGAGGCCAGCATCCCAGGGCCCTAGAGAAGGACCCACCTCCCACTGCAGATGGCTAGCCAAAGCTGAAAGACAACAGGGGTTTGTCCAAAACCCATCAGCTAGCAGAGCCCTGATCTGGGTCAACTTTTGGGGGGTAGCATCTGAGGAAACTGAGCCTGAGAGGAGGGAGAGGCTGAGACCACCTGGGGCCAGCAGCTGGCCCCAGAGAAACTGAGGGTAGAGGCCTTGGGACCCTCCACAAATTATTCCAAGGAAGCCATCGACGCTAGAGAGGTACAAGGGACAATGACCTGGTGTCACTAACAGTCTGTTGGGTCCTGTTTGTGCAGAGCAGCTACTGATCTAGAATGATCCATCCTTCTACCTGGCAGAACACAGGAACTGTAGGGATTTCCATTGTCCACCCGAGGGGCCTGCCTCACAGTCACAGCCAAGGACAGGCTGGACCCAAGAACTGTCTTTGCTACTCCAGGGAAGGACCCCGAGGGACCATGAGTCTCAGGAAGGAAGGTCTTAAAGCAAGGAAGGAGGGACCACCAGGAGGTTTGGGGGATGAGTGGGCCCCTCTGCTCTAGTCCTAGCTCACCATGCTGAGAGGCCATGGCTCGTCAACTGGCCAGTGTCAAGCAAACAACAAGGGTACAGCGGCAATCTACACCCTTGCCTGTGGGTTCAGAGCCAGGGAGAAGTGATGAAGACTGAGTGTCTGGAGCTAGCAGGAAGCCACGGGTCACAAACAGGTCATGGAGCTGCCCATGTTAGGTCACTGGGGCTATGACAGGGTCACAGAGGCGGTGGCAGTGGTGAGCAAGTACAGGGCACCTGAGGAGCACCGAGTCTGGGGTGGGGGGCGTGGTGGCGCTGGTAAATAAAAGGGTGGAGGGGGTACCGTATGAACTCAAGGGGGTGGGAGTGGGATGGCTAAGACAAGACAGGGTTGCCTGCTTCGGGGGCGGGGCCCATCTGTCACCTGTCCTCCCCCGCAGTCACTGCTGTTTCTCTGACCTTCGGGGCCGGAACCTCCGTGGGCCTGTCGCTTTCCTTGTAGCCACGGCTGCGGTGAAACCCACCAGGCAGCACAGGGACGTGGTGCTGAACTTGAGTGTGTCCAGCCAGCCGGGCGAGGCAGCCTGCAGATAGTGCTCGGCCAGGTGCAGCCCCAGCAGCAGGGCCCAAAGGCAGGTGGAGAAGGCATCGATCCTCCGGAGCCTGCCGGAAAGAGCAAGTGGGTGTGTGCCCGGAAGACGGTGCAGCGCCTCTGTCCTCTCCTGCACCACCCCCCATCTCAATCGGCCCGGCTCAGAGAAGAGAGGCTGGTGAGGCCAGCAGAGGGTCTGCATCCATCCCACGACTCGCAGGCTGCCCAGCTCTAAAGCAGGGCGGTGCGCCCATGGCCTTCGCCTAGCCTGGGAACTAAGGTGGGAGCCTGGCCTCACTTGAGCTTCCGCAGCCTTCTGTTACTCTGCTTTACAGATGTGTCAGGTGACTGACTCAGTGTCACTGTCATCTGTGTTGTCCTCCTGGCCCCTAGAGAACTTGGACAGGCTTGTCTAGAGTTCAGCCCAGAGCAGGGGACTCCAAGGAGGTGACAGTGCCTTGTGCAGACCTCTGCCCACCCAGTCCCAAGGCCCCGCAACACACCTGATCCGGCCAGCCAGCAGCATAGCCAGCAGGCACGTGAGCAGGCCCATGGCCACAATGCTGGTCTGGTGGCTCTGCCCAAAGGCCCAGGCTTCATGTAGCTTCTCTGTAGCCTGCTCCGGCAACAGGCCCAGCAGCTGCTGCCAGCCCTCCGCCTGAGAAGTGGTGTTGTCTGAGGCAGCAGAACTGTTGCTCCCAGGAGGTAGGGCCGGGAGCAAGGCAGCCTCTGGGGTGAAGGGTTCGCTGTGTCCATACAGTGTAGTGGACAACAAGAAGGCACAGGCCAGGAAGGCCAGGGCACGGAGCAGGATGACCTGGAATGGGGCCTTCGCTGCCGAGGAACTGAAGCTCTGGGGGAGGGAGAGATGCTCAGTGAGAAGCCAAAAGCAGCACCAGCAAGTCCACCACATGGATGCTGGCCAGTCCTGTTTGCACGCCCCTGCTCTGATGCTCAGGGACCACGGCCTCACCCTAGGCCACTGTCTCACTATGACAGGTCTCTGTGGGAGGGGCTCTGCTGCCTCTTCTAGAGAAACACTTCTATATACTGGGACTTCTAGATCTTTCAATCACTTTGTCAAGGATTTATCAAAAACTCCCATTACACTTGACAAGGACGCCAGGACAATGTAGAGACAACTCTGGAAAAAGTTCAATTAAATGGTTTTTTGTTAATAGGTTATTCAGACGAAAAACCAAGAAGCTAGAATAAGAATCAAAGGTCTGAGGTCTGAGGACAGGGGCCTCCTGTTCTTTTGAGCAGACATAGGGTAGTAGGGACAGAGGTAGTATGGCCTAATGGTCAGCAGCCAGCTACAGAATGGAGATGACACACTCTAACTGTTGGCGATCACATGTGTGGCCCCTTGCAAGCATCTCAGCCCCACCCTTGGTTCCCACAGCCATGAGCAGGCGCCACAGTACTCAGGGTGTCTGGAAAGTGGAAGGGTCAGCAAGGCACCCTCAGACCAGGTAAGGTACGTGACAACCACATCATGATCCTAGACACCCTTAGGAAGGCCATGACAGCAGGGGACCACCAGGCAGCTGCTTCCCAGGAAAGGAGTCTTGGCATGCGGCACTGTGCCCCAGTCACTAGGGCCCAGGTCCCAGATCATCTTCCCCCACACATCCAACACCCAAATGTCCCATAGTCTCAGACCTGCCCATGGGCCTGGTCGGCCTCCCGACGCCGGAACTGGTGGCTGAGAAGCAGGGCACGCAACTGGCGGTTCTGGTGTTTGATGTAGTATTCAACAGCTGCCTGGCACGGGCGGCACAGCTTGTACATCTGCTCCAAGTGGTGGCGGTACACCTCAATCTCCTCATCATACCGGCCCTACAGGTGCGGGCAGTAGGCCTGAATTACAGCTAGGAACTGGGTTCAGACCCGGCCCTGCCTGTGCTAACAGTGATGTGAGCTCGCAGGAGTGGGGGCTAGGAGGAGAGGAGGCCGCGACACAGGACATTAATGACATTCTGTAGCTCACAGCCTGCTCAAGTAGGGACACTGAGCTGACACTCTCTAGATTCCAGCAGAAGGACAATCAAGGATCAGCGCCTTCCTTTCTCCCCAACTCTGAAGGTCTAACACACACCAGAGAGCAACCGATTCTTTAGTTTCACAGTAGCCCAGGATAGGAGTCCCATCCCCCTGCTCCCTCAGAGATGCAGCAAGGACACAGCCAGCAAGTGCATCCATCAGTGGCAATGGCTGGTGCCATCTCTTGTTGGGGCAAACAGGAAAGCCACCTGGTGTCAATCTTTCCTCATGGCCTCTTTGTAAAAACCCTTTAAAAACCACACTCATTCATTTTAGTGTATGTATGTGAGCATGGAGATGGAGGCTAGAGGATAACCCAGGAGAGATTGTTCTCTTCGGGGGCACCCCAGGAATCGAACTCACATAATCAAGCTTGGTGGTAAGTATCTTTGCCCCCTGAGCCATCTTGGTGGCTCTCCCTCTTGGCCTCCTGGCTCATTCCTGGTCCCCTATCTTTTCTAGGCATCTGTGGGCCTCAGGTGGGATCTGTCTCTCCCACACCAAGCTAAACAGGAAGCTAAACTCACTGAGGAAGGAGCTAACCAGGACTGACTGAGGGAGGAGACCAGGAGGCTGCCCACTAAGGCTGCAGGTGGAGCCCAAGGCCTCTACCTCCCTCTTCTCGGGACAAAGCCCTCTCGGGCCTGGCAGGCTCTGGTTTCCATGGCGCTCTCCCAGTGGTCACAAGAGCAGTGACAGCAAGCTCAGCTCCAGCTGCGAAGGAAGCCACACACCCTGGAGTATGGGGCAGCAGGAGGCAAACAGTTTGGCTCCACTCAGCCACGCGTGCTTACCTCCTCTCGAGGTGTGAAAGCAGCCAGCTGCTTGATCTTGGTGGTCTGGTGGTGGCTGCACCTTCGGCATAGCAGGACCTGGCTGCTCACCCACTGCTGCGGCTGCGCAGGGTCACGGGGACTGGGCACACTGCTCACCACATGGTTCAGGTGCTCCATGTACTGGGCCGGGATCGGCTTGTTGTAGTCTCCATTCTGGGGGTAGAGGTCCTGGTCAGTGGGCCCGCTCGGGGATGTTCAAGATTCAGACAAGCCTACTCTGGCTTGCTTTGCACGAAAGAGCAGCAGCATTCCTTCTGATGTTGTCGAACGTGGAAGCCCAAAAATCGAGGTGCTGAGAAGCTACCCAGCATGTACCTCAGGGCAGACTCTGGGGTGCCCTTTGCCCACATCCCTCACTCTGGCTTTGTCCCTTAGAAGCACAACTGAGACTCAGGCTGTAAGCTGGGCCTCTGGGTAGGCTGTCTGTTACTAAGTGTCAGGAGAAGCTGCACACCCAGACACTCACACACTGTCTCTGGCAGATGCACTCACGGCTGTGACAGAGAACAAACCACCTACAAAGCTGAATACTGCATCTGCATGCCTGGGCCTCAGACCTGGCCTGCTCTTGATGCTGACCCCAGTCTTACCCTGCTGTGCTGAGACAGGACAAGTGGTCACAGTTCCCTCCACCTGCTCTTCCTCCTCAAAGGGAGACACAGAGCCAGGCCCATGGTTAGAAGACAGTGGCATGGAGTGTGAGCTCAGGCCAGCTCAGCAGCGGCCTTAGCACTGGCCACCCACCGACAGCCCATACCTCTTGAAAGCCGTTGTACTGCTCGCAGTGGGGGCAGTCCCAGCAGTTGCGGTTCCCATAGGGCACCAGTGTATCGTGGTTGCAGAACCAGCAGTTGACCATCGTGTGTGTCGGCTTCACCCTGTGGGCCAACAACAGCATCAGTCTGAAGACTTCAGCATCTGTGACATGGAGACCACATCTCAAGAGTCGGAAGTGGCATCCGAGGTAGAAATGAAGGCCCAGCCACAGGATGTGCAGGGAGAAGGGATTCCTAGATGCTATGCAGGGCGGAGAGGGGGGCAGCACAAGGTTAGGGCTAGCTAACCAATGGGCCAATAGAGATGACACTCAGGACCCTTCTTCCCCCATGAGGCCTACTCCTAGGGTGCAGAAATCGTGTTTCAGAGAGTTGTAAGACTTAAGGGAGCTTTCTGTCTTTCCAGAAAAAAAAAATCCCTAGAGAGTGAGCCAAGGAGGCCAAGGGGCGGGGACTGTTGACAGGGGTGGGGACAAGTCACAGCTGCTCAGCCAGGGCCCAGCCTTTTGGGGAAGGTGGGGGCAGGGGCAGGCCCATAATGGGTTGTTGGTCACACAACAGGTGGGACCTGCAAGATAAGCCTGGCCCAGACACTGGGGATCTGTGCAGCAGAGGGCACACAGCAACTGCCCAGCAAACCCAGTCCAGGAATCCAGAAACAAATGGATGAAGGGCAGCAGCTGGGAGCCCTGGTGTCCCAACCCTGCCCTTTTGCCCTGTCCTCACTCAGAGGCCATGTCTAGTTCAGAGGCACTGCCCAGATCTAGGTAGAGTGAGCCACCACACACAGATGGTCCTTCTCCTTAGAGAGCATGACTCTGGCCTTTGCATCCTAAAAGAGAGGGTCTGGCTATGGGGCTCATGATGTGCTCAGGAGGGTCTCAGTTCTTAAACTCAGCCTGTAAGCCAGGCCTGGGAAGTGGACCAGGAACAGTGAGTGCCTGCTGTTCTGCACGTCACACAGAGTCAATGACAAGACGCGGGGTTGGGGCCCGGCTTTGTAATGGAAAAGGCCATCAAGTCAGGAGGCCAGGAGGGAAGACAACTGTGGAAGTGGGTTCTAGTTCCTGGCTCAGCCCACATGGCCTGCCTGCCCGCCCATCCGCTCCACTCCCTCCACAGACTGTGGGCAGGTGAAGAAGGGTGTCCTGTCAGCTGGGATAACAGCATCTTCCTCACAGGGGCTTGCTCTTGGGAAATACTCAACAGTGTCCTGGCCTTGCCCATGTCAACACACGACACTGACTGGGACATGTGCTCTAGCAAACCAGCCTCACACTTTCTTCTGCCTGAGTTCAGGTCAAACCTTCAAAATGACAGGAAGGGTGGAGGGATGGCTCGACAGTTAAAACACTCACTACTCTTGTAGAGGACCCCAGTTTGGATCCTAACACCCACACTCGTGGCTCACAACCACCTGTAACTCCAGCACCAGGGGATATGATGCCACAGGCCTCCACGAGCACCTGCACTCATGTACACACTCGCACTGTTTAAAAACAGTAACAACAGCACAGGGCTCACAGGTAAAACCTTAAGATTGCACACTGGGCAGGGTACCCTATGCCCTGGTCTCTAGGGTCTCTCTACCTTCTAGAATATTCATTTCAATCCCGCATTTTTCAAATGGGTTGCTCAGACTTTGCTAGTACCCGGTACCGGACAGCTTTACTGGCCCCCAGATGGAAAGGGGAATACAGGAGCCTGTGGCTGACGGGCTGGAAACGTGCTCTGCTGGGGTGTCTGTGTGCTTGGCATTCCTGGGTAATTAAACACTTACTTTGTGGTAATTTGTACACCTTTTATAGGACTCTTTGTAATTATGCACAAGGCATGCCTCATAGCTAGTACGCAAGCAGTGTGCACTCTCGTCTGCCTGAGTCTGAGGCAAAGCACCCACCTGACCCTGGGACTCTGTAGGCCTGCTTCTATTTGATGAGAAAAGTCAACTTCTGGGCTTCGCAAAGACAAGCAAGCAGGAGCTGTTGCTCTGGAGTGACAAGTCTGCCAGGGAGCCCAGCCCACCCAGAAAGCCATCATTTCCACTCTGGGTCTCCAGCTCCATTGCTAGGGAAATGACTCCTGGCCTCAGGAAAAAGCCCTGTCTGGAAGTGGAAGGCGGGGGATTCATCCTCCCCTGAGGCCAGAGGCTAATAACCTCTGCAGGGGGTGGGGTGGGGGGGGATGCTTGGGCTTGGGGGTGTCCTTTTATGGCCAGAGCAACAATTGTCTGCCTGGGCTAGGTGGGATCCCTACACCAGAAACTACCTCCTTCACAGCCCCAAAGGTCTGTGGGCAGGTGCAGCAAGGCAGCTGGCCAGAGTCTCAGATCTTCTGGCACCAATCAGCGGCTGTAGCATGTACCAAAGGGTGGGTGAACATGCAGACAGTCCCAGTAGCCACTTCACAGTTCCAACACTGTCCCAGGGCAGACTGAGCAGTCTTGGCCTCAGAACTCACCCAGTCGTTTCAGGGAAAGTCCTCCAAGTTTCCCTGGCAAACTCCTTGGGCCAATTTTCTCCCTCAAGCTAACAATCCCAACTCTATGACAAATCACATTTGGGGACTACAGTGGAGGTGATTAGATAGCATGTCGCTTTAACAAAGGAGAGGACAGTGACTAGGCAGAGGCCAGCATCTTGGTCAATGACCAAGCCTAGGTCATATTCATTGCCATGGGTGGATGAGGGATCTGGAAGCCATCTCTCCAACTGGAGGCCATTGTTATGTTCTACTCTTTGGATGCCAAAAGGAACCTAAGGAGCCATGGTAGTTGGATCCCTCGAAGGGGCCAGAGGCAACTGCATGCCTGGTATCCCCTCCATGAGACTGAACACACAGAGCTACCTCTGTTGATGTTTTCTCCATCAGCCTAGGACATTCAGGAAAAGTGAAACTCCTGTCCCACAGCCCAGCATAGGTGACTACTGCAAGTTCTTTGGCCCAGGAACCAATCAGAGTTCATGTTATGTCACACAGGAGACACTGGATGGGCTTAGTCCGTGGGGTGCTCTGAGTCTGTGGGGGACCATTGTGCCCATCTCTTCCTAAGGAGCCTGACAAGCTATGCCTGTGAGAACCAGGCTTAGTTCCCTCAGGGTTCAGGGAAAGCTTGGCTTCACAGGATGCTACGTCTCTGCTCTTCCAAGTGTGACCTCATCTAAGAGGGAGAGTTCAAGGAGGTACACCCTGGGCTTCAACAGTAGCATCGGGCTGAATGCAACTCTGCACAGCCTGGACCAAAGAGATTCCATCAAAAGCCTAACCTCACAGTGGCAATGCTATACACAGTAGCAATGCTATACAAAACAACGGAGAACCCCAACACTGATCCCTCAGGGGACAGAGCAGCCCTGGACAGATGCATTACACAGTCTATCAAGAACCACTCAAGGCTTTCAGATATGACATCTGAGCAAAATGCACTACCTGACTGTGACACAAGAACCACAATTCACAGAGTGGCAGGGAACAGATGCCACAGGACTGGCCACCAACATGCAGGGCATATGCTGACACCCAGAAACAGGTGCCCTCATCAGCAGGGCGGTGACGGGTGCTAAACTGAGTTCCCAAGGGCAAACCCAAAGTGCACTGTGCAAAGGGACAAAGCACACACGGGTAGACGCATGGAGAGGGATGTGGGAACTCCACCCCAGGACCCCAGGTCCAGGGAAACGGCAGTATGGGCGAGCTTTGTTTCCCAGCTGAGGAATGGACCCGCCTCACTGGAGCTGCTCCTGAGTGACAGGTGCTCCATGCATGTCACCTGTACAGAACGGCAGGTGCTCCTCGTATGTCACCTGTACAGAATGACAGGTGCTCCATGCATGTCACCTGTACAGGAATGGCAGCTGCTCTCACATCCACTGGAACAAGAAAACTCCATGGGTAAGGTAGCAGGGTGGTTGGATGTGGGTTCCAGACAACTTCCCTGCAACCACTGTGACCAGTTTTAAAACTCAGGAAGGGCTGACCTGAGCAGGGACATTTTCTTCGCATGGCTCCTCCGGGCCACAGTCTGGACCCCTGCTATCTCCATGTTTAGCTTGAAAACACCCAGTCTACTAGAGGCCTTCCAAACCAAGTCCCTGTAGGCCCTCCTCTGACACAGTCAACCCCCATTCTCCACAGCTGATTCCTGCCTGCTACAGCTGCAGCCTCTTGCTAACCGAGGCTTGCTTCAGAGCTGTGGGTGGCCAATTCACAAACCCAGACCTCCTCATAACGACATACGTACACGAGGTGCCATGGTCCGACCAATCAGAAGCAGTGACCCAAACATGGTACCTTGACAGCCTGGTGTCAGTATGAAAAAGGCACCAAGGGATTCTTGCCTGCTCCTACAAAAATATATGTCCCCCACACACCTCGCCAAGGCCTCAGATTCCTGTCTCTAGCACAGGCAAGGCCCTTGTTGGCAGGACAGGAAGGGGTGACAGGCAGTGATCCAGTCCTGGCCACAAGCAGTTCCACTCTGCTCTTCTGGACACATGCCCTATCCTGAGTGGCAGGGGCAGTGGCATCCAGGAGGTGCCTGGGCTTTGGGACAGGCTCTGCTTGGCACGTGAACAGACTGCCCAGGCTCCCCTAGGTCCAGGTAAAGAGACTGCTTTGGGTTGGATGATTTTTTTTTTTTTTTTGGCTTTCTCGAGACAGGGTTTCTCTGTGTAGCCCTGGCTGTCCTGGAACTCACCCTGTAGACCAGGCTAGCCTCGAACTCTTGAACTCAGAAATCCGCCTGCCTCTGCCTCCCAAGTGCTGGGATTAAAGGCGTGTGCCACCACTGCCCGGCGGGTTGTATGATCTTAAGAGGCCCCTCTTCCAAAAACTGGGTGGACAAGACAGGAAGCTTGGGTTGATATCCCTGGAGTCAGGCACTCTCTTGGCCCCCCTCCCACCCTGGGATATAGCCCCTTCCTCCAGGCACAGCTAAAGTCCACTCCTCCTTAGAAGCCCCCTGTGACTCGCCTATCTCTAACAATTTTTTGCCTGCCCTCTCCTTCAGGAAAAAAGCGGGATTAAGGAAGGTGACCCATCACCCAGGTTGCCAGGAGTTCAAACCACAGCCCCTTGTCGTCCAGACACTATGGGCAAGTCCTGAGCTCTGCACATCCCTGGTTTCCCGAAGAGGCTCCCATAAATGCCTATATGACCCTATCCTCAGGAAATGTGATCAGGTGAGCTATTCCTTCATCCTGCTGAAGAAACGATTCCATTTTGGGGTTTGACCACGGAGGGGAATGTCCAAGGTTAGCTTTGAGTACTGAGGAGAGTACTGGTCCCAAAGCCCATCCCAGACATGTGTCCAAGGAGTACAGCGTACACCTCTGAGTGCACAAGTTCCCTAAACGTGTGGAGTGCAGGCTCCTGCCCAAGGCTGCTACTGTTCACACGTGCCTCTTTTAAGTACTCAGCTCCAAGGCTTCTCCGGGTGGAAGCTTACATGAGGAATGTTATTCCTATCGCATGCAGACCATCGAGTGCCAGCTCTCATCACCCTAACGGATGGGCTGCAGAGGCCCAGCAGGGCAGTACAGCCAGGAGCGCAGGCCTCGAAGGGAGGAGTAAGCAGCAGCCCCCTCCCCCAGCCACGGTCGGAGGCTGCTCCCCGACCAGGTTTTTAGGGGGTGAGGGTAAAGGTGGAGCCGGAGAAAGCGTCTCGCATCTGCGAGCAGGCCCGGTCCGCCCGTGGGACTCCGTCGTAGCCTCGCGGGGGCGGGGCGGCGGCCCGGGCCGCGTGCAGCGGGGCGCGCACTCACCTCCGCGCAATCCGGTAGAGCACCACGCCGGCGGCAGCGCACGCCGTGACCCCCAGGCCGCCCGCCAGGCCGGCGGTGGGGCAGCTGGCCAGCAGCGCGCTCACTCCCTCCATGGTTTCCGGGCGGAGTCGGTGGGCTAGGGGCGCGGACCGCAAAAGGGACTCCCGGCGGCCCGCGCGCTCCTGCTCGCGCCGTGACCTTCGCCGCTTTGTAGCCGGCGCGGGCCCGCCCCTTGACTCGGCGCGCTCCCGCCGCGCAGCCAATCGCGGCGCGGGGCGAGCCTGGGTGGGCGGGGCGCCGACGGAAGCGCTTGGTGCCGGCTCAGACGCGCCCCCTCAGCGGCCGCAGTGGGAACGCCACTCTCTAGAGCTGGAGACAGCCCCGCCTGCGCCGGCTGCCTGCGCATGCGTGCATTTGCAGTTCCCAGCGGGGCTACCCTGCGCCAATCCTTGCCAGAGCTTTCTCCACTTAGTCTTGTTTTTCTGGCGTTGGGCCAAAGCCGGCCTGTGCCGCTCCAGAAGCCACAGTGGTTTGCACAAACACAAACGTCCAAAGACGGAAACGAGGTTAAATAATCACTGGATAGGCATGTTTCGGAACATAATGCAGCCATTAGAATGAATGGCTGAGGGGGAGGGATTGGCCCTGAAGGGGTTATTTATTTATTTATTTATTTAGTCGAATGTAGATGATTTTCATAGTTGCTAAGTTTGATGAAGCCTGTGCACTTAAATAGATTACCTCGGGGAGTGGGATCGAGGGAAGAGCCACTTATAAGAGTGTTTCAGCATTTATGTGAGCTAAATTACGGATCAAGAAAACCTCACTGATGCTTGGTGATGCATGTCTTTAATCCCAGCGGAGGCAGGCGTATTTCTGTAAATTTGATGCCAGCCTGGTCTACACAGTCAGTTCCAGGTCGTCAGGCAATATATGGGCTAGCAGTGAGGCCCGGTCCTAAAAAAATAAAAAAATAAATTAATTAATTAAAAAAAGAAAACAAAGCAAAAGAAAAAAAAACTCTACCAAGAAATATTTATACCAAGTTGGGCAGGTATAGTGGCACAAGCCTTTGATCTCTCAAAAAATCGAAAACTTGTGGGGCATGGTGGTGCACGCTTTTAATCCCAGCACTTGGGAGTCAGAGGAAGGCAGGTCTCTGTGACTTCAAGGCCAGCCTGGTCTACAAAGAGAATCCAGGGCAACCAGGGCTCTGTTACACAGAAAAAAAACACGTTTTGAAAAACAAAACAAAGCCGGGCAATAGTGGCGCAAGCCTTTAATCCCAGCACTTGGGAAGCAGAGGCAGGCAGATTTCTGAGTTCGTAGGCCAGCCTGGTCTACAGAGTGAGTTCCAGGACATCCCAGGCTATAAAGAGAAACCCTGTCTCGAAAAACCAAAAAAAAAAAAAAAAAAAAAAAACCCACAAAAGACAAACAAAACATTTTTAAAAATATTCATCTCTAATTACATGTTATGTTTGTGTGGAATACCCTCCAGCACACTCACAATTTTACGAGTGTCTTTAAGATCAAGTTCTCAGTGGGCAATGATGGTCACTGTAATTTCTTGCTTTTGTTGCCAGTTCACCTGTCCCCATGTCACCAGTCAGGAAGGAGTGAGCAGGTTGAGTTCTGGGAATCAATGTAAAACTACAGGGGCTGGAGAGCTCTCTTGCACATCAGAGATAAGGCCTGTCCCATCCTCCTTTTGATTTCTGTTAGCTCTGAGCGTGCCCAGAGTGCACTGGCTCACACAGCATTTCTGAATGTGGTACCTTGAGTTCCAGGGCAGGTCTCCAGTTGGTAAAGAACTGTTGTCTGAGAGCTTCCTGGACTTCATTCACATCATCTTAGGCATTGCGTGATTATTGGTATGTCTCAGTCTTAGGTAAATGGAAGGAAAACTGATTTCAGATCCAGACTTCAGACTCAGAACTGCTATAGATTGGACAGGTTCCCAAATGTCCTCCAAGCCCCATGTGTTAAGGTTTTGGTGTCCAGCTGGTGAAGCTCCTGGAAAGTGACATAGAAACTTTTAAACAACACAAAACAAAACAAAAATCCCACCTTTTTATGATGCCAGGTGCCTACTGAGGCCAGAAATCATTGGGTTCGCTGGAGCTGGAGGTTCATGTTTCTGGACATCTTGTGGGGTTCAGAACTTGAACCCATATCCATATCCTCTAGAAGGAAAGCCAATGTTCTTAACAGATGAGCCTTTTCTCTAGCCCCAAGTGGTAAAAACTTTTAAGAGGCAAGGCCTAGTAGTTAGTCACTGGGGCATGTCTTGCAGGGGACTGAGGGTCTTTAGTCTCTCTTTTCTGCTTCCAGGACATTAGATGGTTTTGCTGGGCTGTATACCTGAGATCATGAGCTGTGTCTCCAGAGGCCCCCAAACAATGGATCAACCAATCATGGACTAGAGCTACTCAAACAGCCAAAACAAACTCTTTCACCTTTTAAACTGACCACCTCAGGCATTAGCTACCAGCCCTGGGTTAGAACATTCACCAGTCTTTATGGCTTCTTGGCTCTCCTTTATTCATGCATCCAGTGGGAGGGACACACATTCCTGTAGGCCAGCTTTCCATTTGTAGTCTGTGTCATCGCAAGCTGGTCGTGTCCTCTGCCTCACTGCTGACAAGGCTGCCAGGATTACATGGCAAATATATGGGGAAATACCTGTCCCCTTGGTCCAGTGCTTGGCGGATGCCTGGGTGAAGTGAAGGCTATTAAAGGCAGAACCGTATGAATGCATAGATGGACATATAAGGACTATTTTGAGGTAACAGCCTTGCTGCTCTTATTGGACTGGCTTTGACAGGCAAAACACTCATACACATAAAATCATAAATCTAAATGAAATTATAAAAATAAATCTGTAGGGATGGATGTGAAACATGCCTTCAATACCAGCACCCAAGAGGCAGAGGCAGGTGTTCTCTAAACTGAGGCCAGCCTGGTCTACAGAGTGAATTAGAAGTCAGTCAGGACAACTAGATCCTGTTTCTTTTTTCTTTTTTTTTTTTTTTTTTTGATTTTTTCGAGACAGGGTTTCTCTGTGTAGCCCTGGCTGTCCTGGAACTCACTCTGTAGATGAGGCTGGCCTCGAACTCAGAAATCCGCCTGCCTCTGCCTCCCAAGTGCTGGGATTAAAGGCATGCGCCACCACCACCACCGCCCGTTGAAAATTCTCTTTTGAAACAGGATCTAGGGCAGTGGTGGTGCACGCCTTTAATCCCAGCATTTGGGAGGCAGAGGCAGGCGGATTTCTGAGTTCGAGGCCAGCCTGGTCTACAGAGTGAGTTCCAGGACAGCCAGGGCTACACAGAGAAACCCTGTTTCTTTCTTTTTTTTTTTTTTTTAAAGATTTATTTATTTTATTTATGAGTACATTGTAGCTGACTTCAGACACACCAGAAGAGGGCATCGAATCTCATTATGGATGGTTGTGAGCCACCATGTGGTTGCTGGGATTTGAACTCAGGACCTCTGGAAGAGCAGTCAGTGCTCTTAACCGCTGAGCCATCTCTCCAGCCCCCGAAACCCTGTTTCAAAAAACCAAAAAAAAAAAAAAAGAGAGAGAGAGAGAGAATTTTCCCACATGGACTGAACTCGGGAAGAAAGGAATAAATGACGGGCTTTCTTTACCCACTCCTCTAGTAATCTTTTCTACTTCAAATCCAGCAGCCTCCGTCCCTTCCTTTCCAGCTTGAGCCCTTTCTGTTCTGGGTTTTGAAGTTTCTGTCTTTCAATGCTGTGGTGAGCCTGGTGGTGCTGGCATCCACCTTTAATCCCAGCACTTTCGAAGCAGAGGCAGACAGATCTCTGAGTGAGTTCTAGGACAGCCAAGGCTACATAGAGAAACCCTATTTCCAGTGGGGCGGGGGGAAGAAACAAGGAAACATATTAACTTAATGCCCTGGTGTAGGGGAAACAGAAAACTTACTTATATTAGCTCATATAAAATGTATTTATTGGGGAAGACACATAGGTCACTCCTACTCTTGTGGTGCAGGGTTGGTGGGCGGGTGGGTGGCTGGTGCTACTATGTTATCAAGTATGTCATGGAGAGGTGGGAAGATAGAAAAAAAGATAGAAAAAATAGGCTGGGCAGTGGTGGCACATGCTTTTAATCCCAGCACTTGGGAGGCAGAGGCAGGCGGATTTCTGAGTTCAAGGCCAGCCTGGTCTACAGAGTGAGTTCCAGGACAGCCAGGGTTACACAGAGAAACCCTGTTTCAAAAAACCAAAAAAAAAAAAAAAAAGAAAGAAAGAAAAAGAAAAGAAAAAGGAAAGATGGAATGGTGCATAGGTGGCTGTGGAGAGAGTCCAAACTGGAAATAGCCGGCAGTGACAGCATGTCGTTGCCCAGTAAGGTTGGTGTGATGGTGTGTAGCAGCCTGGAGCTTATGCCACAGGATCCCCCTGGCTCTAGGCAATGACAGGCCACAGATGAGGACCTCCTCGAAGGAGGAGTCTGTGATGAGGCCACTGGAGGCCACATTGATGTCTGTGGTCCATGCTCCTGTCCCAGGCTGCAGTGAAGCCTGAGACTCACCTGGATATAGGCAGTCCGTGCAGCTGATGCCGTGGTGATGTCCTCCAGCTTTGGTGTGGGGGTGTGGGGGTGTGGGGCCGTGGGGGTGTGCTGATGCCGTGGTGATGTCCTCCAGCTTTGGTGTGGGGGTGTGGGGGCCGTGGGGGTGTGCTGATGCCGTGGTGATGTCCTCCAGCTTTGGTGTGGGGGTGTGGGGCCGTGGGGGTGTGCTGATGTGAGTGGCGTGTGCACCAAGTGGGTCAGTGGTCCTGATTCCTCCAGGGACTGTGAAGATGTCTGTGGATCATCCAGCCACCCGCACGGCAGCACTGGTTGGTGGCATGGGTGCGGAGAGCTGGTCCCACCCCTCGCCAGCTGTGCAAGGCTCTCCTGAGTGGTGGCTTCTAGCCTGGGTGCAGGAGGAGAAAGACTCACCACTGCTTGGGGAGCTGGCAACTAACAATTTGACCATGCTCCCATGAGTATATGGATAGCACAAAATAGACTTTTCTCCCCCTCCCACCCTTTTTTTTTTTAGGGGGGGCAGGGAGGTCATGGAGGAGGGGGATA